CTTAACATGCTCACGTCAAAACTGATTTACATTCTAATCGCAGATTAAAGAATAACACAATAAATAGTATGCCAAGTTATCGTTACCATGACAACCCTGTGATATTTCACCTTATGTAAGAGAGTAATGCATCGCTCAGATACATCGCTCACTACCCTTTTCTCTTTGGATCTTCTCAAAAGACTGTTACAAGTTCAAAGAATCCTGGTCAAAGTAGAAAAGTCTTATGACTATTCCCTACAATTCTGTAACTTACACATTGTACCCTAAATGGGTAGAGCTTCCGTTCGGGGGAATATCAGAAGGACAACGATACAGTTATTTCCAATGTTGTAGAAAGCACTCCACTTACTTAGGAAATCACTGAGATATTGTATTCATGTCGGAATGATATTTTCAGCCCCTGTCAGATCGGAACTTGAACATGCGAGGTCTGCGTCTGTGTCAGACTAAAGGCCTACAAGATGTTTAGCAACACTGGGGCGTAATAGCCATAGACCTCCTCCAAACAAGGGAATATATATCTTGTGAGAATGACTTGTCCGACAGGGAAATTTACAGCAATGCGACATTACAATTACTTACGTGATATTTACTCGCAATCTGAGTTATGGATCGTCAATTTAAACAGGACAATATAGACGAATTTCACAAAAGGCACGGAGATCCAACATGCCTATGATATACTCAGAGAACGCACCCGCCTGTGCTATTCGGTCATAATCGCTACACGATAAAAACAATTTTTCATTTCATGTCTCACAGAATATATAATTTGATATGGCATTGTTTGTTATCGTATACTTTTGCGTCAGTGAAACAAATGTGGACAACTTTAAAATTTATGTATTACAGCAAAGGCTGAGCGAATGGAGAAATAACATTTTTCAGGCACTGTGAGACTATTAAGGAAGGTCACATGCCGTGCAATAATATTCCATTTATGCACTGTCAAAAGAACGTTACAGTAGTGATGCGCGAGCTGAACAGACTTAAGAAATTACGAGTTGGTACGTGTGGTGTATTTGGCTGTGATCCAAGAGAGACAAAGTGCTATTCTATTTGGACAGCTAGGGACACTTGCGAAGACAAAGGGGCATCGCCCTTTGTTCACCACTGAACCTGTTAATCCCTCACACCTCACAAGATTTGCCAACACCACAGACAAGGCGTAACTGATACTGATAGCAAGAGCGAGTGCAACTATAAAAAGGCGTGTTAGCTTGCGTAATACTGCTTTCTTTGTCAGGCCCTTTGGGTGATAAGAATATTGAGGTCATGTGAACTTTGATTTCAAACGTACTAAAATGTGTGAAAATGAAATTACATGAACCAAGTAATTCACATGATGGAAACATATGATCATCTTGCTTGAGCACAGGTAACATAAAGATGTATGAACCGTTAATATACATACCCATGAAATCAGGTATGATACATAAATATATAAGGTGTGTAAATATTTGCAAATTTGAAAATTTACATGTGTTTCTACACCTCAGTAAATTCACATGTTTCCAACTCGAGTAAACTTAGAACGAAATCGGAAATTTCCGCACCCATTGAATTTCAAAGGAATGCATTGGAAATACTGTATGATTATGTATTTACCGGGGTATCTGTTTTGCATTTCATGTTTGGAAATCCCTGACAATCCGGTCAGGGCATACATGAACGAGGTGCTTGTGCATACGAAAATGTACGATGAGCATATGTTTCAAAGGTATAGATTCATATGAAATATATGCCTGAAGTTAGGAAATATCTGAAAACATACGTAAATCGGCAAATGTATTTCCTACTGTATTTACGTTTATTTCAATGGTTTACTATCCGGCTTTTGGTCCTGTGTGAAGTATCTGGTGTGCACGATATAAAAAAATAAAATCACAGATTGAAGGGGACTTTTTAGATGTGTTTATTGCTGTGCAAAATATGTTTTTGGCAAAATTATTACTTGAGATTTTGCATAGACGTCCAGGAAAGATGAGTTTATGGTTGTCGATGTAACCAATAAGTGTCCACAATCCCAAATTTGCAATAGTAGAGTCTGTTGATGATCTTTTATTAAGCCCCTGCACAATACGAGCAAAATATCGTTGTGTAAGTTCAAATGCATCGGCTTGTTGACCTCTAATGTTAGGTAATGTTTAATAGCCATAGAAACTTGTTGTAAGTATCATTCTCAGCCAGATTTTGACACATGTGAATGGGTGGAGTTGAGAGTGATGAAGTGCGACAAATCTTAGGGAATTTATGTTTTGTCTTGCTTTCTGACAATACCTATCGATTCTTGTTTTTGTTGAAAGGTTATCAGTTAGGAGAACACCTCCATGTGTAGTTGATTCAGACTGAGGGATAGGCGTATCACCATGGCGGTAGTGAATGTTGGAATAAGTGCATTTTCTTCTGCTGAAGACAAATATAGTACTTTTAGTTGGGTTGTAGGTCAAACGCCATTTAATAATGATTGTAAACCTTTAGGTGATGTAATAACAAGCGTGGTATCAGCAAGCAAGACTGCAGGGACATGCATGCCATATATGTATATACAAATACCACAACTCGTTTCTCTGAGAGATGTAATAAGGTCATTTATAAAAACAAGGAAGAACCAAGATGAAATAACTCTTCCTTGACCAACACCTTGCTTGACACAATATGTGTCTGATCTTTCACCCTGGTAACAAACAAATGATTCGCTATGAGTAAAACAGCGATGTATTACCTCTAAAACCAATTTCATATAATTTCTAAAATAATCCATCGTGCCAGATTCTGTTAAAGGCTTTATCGTTGTCAAGAAAGGCAGAGAAAACAGCAGAATCTTTATGCATATATAACTGAATAGTTTCCATGAGTGTGTATACAGACATAAAGGCTCCATGTTGGCGCCGAAAGCCAAATTGTCACATTGGCTGGCATTGATTTTGTTAATTTATGTTCGAAGCTTTTAAGAAGAAGCTTTTCAAAAAGCCTACCGAGACAAGATGTTAAGGTGATACCTCTGTATTTCGTGGGTGGGTCACTTTTGTCTTTTTCGCTCTTATATACACATACGCTTGACTCTTGATGGCTTGAATTGTTACATGACGTTGACAGGTTTTGGCTTTGCGGTGACAAGCACGTCTGTTGACAATGACAACGGGAATGAACTAATTTTGAACCCCTCTATCTCTGTTTCATTATTATTCGCAAAGCTTTTGTTTTTATGGACTGACATTTTGCTCACGCGATGTCGAAAGTCACATCTATTTGCAACATGTTTTCGCTTTGTTTCGACCGTCTCTCCAAGTCTCGATGTGCCTTTTTTCTACGCCAGTTTTGGTGGCATCAAGTGAAGAGAAAAACATATAATCTTAAGAATACCCATGGGCTAGAGACACAATGTTCTCTGTGAGTTCCTAAAGCTGAAATAGCCACGTATAGTCACACAATTAACGCTTTCCCATGTATAAGTAGAGTACGATGTCAATGTGAAAGAAGGGTACGAGGTACGTACATCAACATCAGATCGTTCTTGTACATCGAGATCATTCTCTACTTGTACACTGACATCATACCCTTCTTGTACATCAACATCATACCCTTCTTGTACACCGACATCATACCCACCTTGTACACCGACATCATACCTGCCTTGTACACCGACATTATACCCGCCTTGTATATCGACATCATACTCTACTTGTACATCGACATCATACCCGCCTTGTACACCGACATCATACCCGTCTTGTACACGACATCATACCCGCCTTGTACACCGACATCATACCCGCCTTGTACATCAACATCATACCCGCCTTGTACATCAACATCATACCCGCCTTGTACATCAACATCATACCCGCCTTGTACATCGACATCATACCCGCCTTGTACATCAACATCATACCCGTCTTGTACACTGACATCATACCCGCCTTGTACACTGACATCATACCCGCCTTGTACATCAACATCATACCCGTCTTGTACACCGACATCATACCCGCATTGTACACTGACATTATACCCGCCTTGTACATGAACATCATACCCGCCATGTACACCGACATCATACCCGCCTTGTACATCGACATCATACCCGTCTTGTACACCGACATCATACCCGCCTTGTACATCGACATCATACTCTCCTTGTACATCAACATCATACCCGTCTTGTACACCGACATCATACCCGCCTTGTACATCCAGATCATACGCTCCTTGTACATCAACATCATACCCTCCTTTTACACCGACATCATACCCGCCCTGTACACCGACATCATACCCGCCTTGTACACCGACATCATACACGTCTTCTACATCAACATCATACCCGTCTTGTACACCGACATCATACCCGTCTTGTACATCAACATCATACCGTCCTTGTACATCGACATCATACCTGTCTTGTACATCAACATCATACCGTCCTTGTACACCGACATCATACCCGCCTTGTACACCGACATCATACCCGCCTTGTACACCGACATCATACCAGCCTTGTACATCAACATCATACCCGCCTTGTACACCGACATCATACCCGCCTTGTACACAGACATCATACACGCCTTGTACACCGACATCATACCCGCCTTGTACATCGACATCATACCCGTTTTGTACATCAACATCATACCGTCCTTGTACACCGACATCATGCCCTTCTTAGTCATAGAACCTACTACATATAAACGCATGATGATCCAGGGTGTGAAGCTAATTGAATTATTTCAATAACTTGAGTGTGATACACGAACCGTACAGATTCGTGTCATTGCACTCTGCACATGCTTAAAGCGTCTCTAAAAAAACTCGTGACTGCTTTGTTTGTTCAAGGGGATTGTTCGGGTCAATACATTGTAGGGCGGGGACGATGTATAAAACCGCTGTAGTTATAGTAGACAATATGGCGATATCCGAAGGGAAGAAGGATACCAAACGACTTTCGACGGGAGTCATGTTATAACTGATACCTGTATTCTCTTGCTGCCGGAAAACAGGAATTGAATTGATTAGTTGAAATACTGTTTGCAGCAGAAATACGTGTCTCTCCACTGGAAGAGGTATGTACGTTTAATTTCATGTGTTTCTCTTATTTTGGAGGACACAGACCTATAGTACAATGAAAATGTAATGTTGAGTAATAGTCAACCTTGCTTTGCGTTTATTTATTTCCGTCATGTTTCTTAAATAATAACTATTGTATATACAATGTGAGATTGTTCTCACATCCTCCGATATTACGAATAGACAGCTCAATTATCGGGGCTCCTCTTCAACTCTGTGAATTTTGCCAACACTATTCTCGAATCAGTATATCGCCCAACTTCAACACAGAGTATGTGGATCCATATTATTATTCTGCAAGATGTGTTGTTATCAGGAATTTATTGACAAATGAACATTCTCAGAAATAGTTTATCAAATGAAAATTAGAACTTTCTTATATTTAGTTCTTTTCAATTATTGCAGCAATCAAAGTTGAATAAAAGTTGTCCTTTTATATATCATTTGATACCTCATGGGTGACAGATACCGTTTACATATATCATATCTTTATATATCATATGATTTGCTGCAATTACCTTAACACCAAGAAATCTACTACAACGAACAAGAAGTTCCTTTGCGAATGTACTCCAAAGGTACTTCCGAATATTCAAACGAATATATTTTTACTTCACTTACTGATACCTTTTGTTGGGACAGGACTTAAGCTCGGGCTATAAATTAAACGCTGTGCTCTACAGACAACCTGCATGGTCTGTACACAGAACACATTCTAGATTTATATCCTACTCCTGGGTTATGTTAAAAATCGATTTATCCAGTAACATTGTAAACATAGGCTCTAAGCAGGGGCGGTGGGGTAGCCTAGTGGTTACAGCGTTGGCTCGTCTGGTGTCCCCTGCCGTGATATTGCTGGAATATTGCTAAAAGCGGCGTAAAACTAAACTCAGTCAGTCAGTCAGTCAGTGGGCTCTAAGCATGTACATAGAAACCTTCATTCACATTTCCTGAATTCTGTAAAGGTATCACGTGATATCAAGCATTGCGGTTTGCATGATACGAACGTGAGGTGAGGTGACCAATCATCCGTCTTCACAACCACAATCTATAAAGAGTCAACTTTAACAAAGACGCTCCACTACAGACAAAATGAAAGCAGCTCTGCTACTTGTCCTCTCGGCAGTACTGTGTCATACAGGTAGGTCAACATGACAGGTGAACACGATGAAGTCGTCTTTATATGCAGCCAGAGGATGTATACACAGCTAAGGGAAAATCCCCGTAGAGTCTGTGTCACACAGGCAACGTAATAAATATATAACATGGCATTCTGAACCTGCCAACATGGGCTCGTGAGCAACAATGTAATGGTGTTTCCCAATGCATCAATGATGAAGGAAGAAACATCAATCAATCAATCAATCAATCAATCAATCAATCAATCAATCAATCAATCAATCAATCAATCAATCAATCAATCAATCAATCAATCACTCAATCACTCAATCACTCACTCACTCACTCACTCACTCACTCACTCACTCACTCACTCACTCACTCACTCACTCACTCACTCACTCACTCACTCACTCAATCAATCAATCAATCAATCAATCAATCAATGTCAACAGGAATGTAAGCATCGTTGTACATATATTAGTTATGCATACTGAACCAAGTGACCAACAAGCCGAGCTGTTATATCTGAGTGAGTTGTAAAATCATTGTAAAACAGCTCTGAAAAGATTCGAGTGTCTTAGGAAAATCTGCCATGGTCATATTCATGTATTTATATTTTACACTTCAACAACTCAAATATCAGAATGATTCCCTTTTCAGTGAACAGCTCCTGCACGTCATGCAGTTATGGTACTGAAGAGGTTGACTGCACGGACCCATTTACTCCCTCGGGGCCTGTATTGGACATCTGTTACACAGTCAGTAAGTAATATCCCTCACAAATACTTAGTTACTATATTCTTGACCAGAACGGTATGATGGAGACTGACTACACAAGGCATTCAAGATCTTTAAGTAATGAGGCAAGTTTTGTGGGCCGGTGGGGTAGGTCGTCACGCTGAAGGCACAGGTTCGATTACCCATATAGGTGTAAAGACCATTTCTGGTGCCCAGGCCGTGATCTTGTTGGAAGTTGCTAAAACCAACCTCTCAAAGTAAAACTTGGCTAAAGAGACACCTGAAATATGTGTGTCTTAAACCTAACACTATTGTGTTGTCCTATTTACGGCAACGGATATCTAACGGACAAAACATAACTGATACATGTTCTGTTCCTTTGTTTTCAGACGAGGACCTTTGCTCGAAGTATGGCGACTACGCTATCTACTGCCAGACGGGCGCACTCGATATCAGCTGTAAAAAATATGGTCATTGTTCCAATGGTAAGAATCCGACTTCATCATAACCATGTTTATTAATCACCATTTAATAGTAACGGTATCTGAAGTTTTCTGCCTTTAAGAACAGGCAAAATAGAGCTCATGGGCTAACACTGGGTATGTTTTCCGTTTTTATGCCCATGGGCCGAAATTGAAATTGTATATTGTATTGTTGGGAGAAGGTGACATTACATGGCTAACATGGGTATTGACAACGATCACGGTGCAGCAGGGGCTTCAATGGGTACAGGACCCACTTGACTCCAGGGAAGGTGACATTACATGGCTAACATGGGTATGGACAACATTCAGGTTGCAGCAGGGGCTTCAATGGGTACAGGATTCAGTGGACTCCAGGGAAGGTGACATTACATGGCTAACATGGGTATTGACAACGATCACGGTGCAGCAGGGGCTTCAATGGGTACAGGGCCCACTTGACTCCAGGGAAGGTGACATTACATGGCTAACATGGGTATTGACAACGATCACGGTGCAGCAGGGGCTTCAATGGGTACAGGGCCCACTTGACTCCAGGGAAGGTGACATTACATGGCTAACATGGGTATAGACAACGATCACGGTGCAGCAGGGGCTTCAATGGGTACAGGGCCCACTTGACTCCAGGGAAGGTGACATTACATGGCTAACATGGGTATTGACAACAATCGCCGTGCAGCAGGGGCTTCAATGGGTACAGGGCCCACTTGACTCCAGGGATGGTGACATTACATGGCTAAAATGGGTATTGACAACGATCACGGTGCAGCAGGGGCCTCAATGGGTACAGGGCCCACTTGACTCCAGGGAAGGTGACATTACATGGCTAACATGGGTATAGACAACGATCACCGTGCAGCAGGGGCTTCAATGGGTACAGGACCCACTTGACTCCAGAGAAGGTGACATTACATGGCTAACATAGGTATTGACAACGATCACGGTGCAGCAGGAGCTTCAATGGGTACAGGGCCCACTTGACTCCAGAGAAGGTGACATTACATGGCTAACATGGGTATTGACAACGATCACGGTGCAGCAGGGGCTTCAGGTGACATTGGGTACAGGGCCCACTTGACTCTAGGGAAGGAAGGTGACATTACATGGCTAACATGGGTATTGACAACACTTAGGGTGCGGCAGGGGCTTCAATGGGTACAGGACCCACTTGACTCCAGAGAAGGTGACATTAATAAGTATGATGAAGGTTCTGACATTCGAGGGGCCGTGGGGTAGCCTAGTGGGTAAAGCGTTGGCTCGTCACGCCGAAGACCCGGGTTCGATTCCCAATTTGGGTACAATGTGCGAAGCCCATTTCTGGTGTCCCCCGCCGTGATGTTGCTGGAATATTGCTAAAAGCGGCGTAAAACCAAACTCACTCACTCACTCTGACATTCGATAACGTGAATGTGTCAAATTTTAAAATTTTGTAATGCCGAAAACTATGGTGGTATGACGTTAGCAAGTTTCAAGTTTTCAGATACAATCCTCAAGAAATCACATAAGTATCAACAACCTGAAAGCTGAGGGTCTTTAACGTCATTAGGTTGCTGATGTTTTCTGGTCAATCGGCTGATAGTCGATGGTTGACAACCAACATCTCTTGCAATAACCATCAATTATTACTACCGCATTAATTATATTTATTTATTCTTTATTGGTTGGTTAACACCACACTCAGCAATATTCCAGCTATATGGCGGCGGTCTGGACCAGACAGTCTAGTGATTGACATCATGAGCAATTGGGAAACGATGACATGTAGCACCCAACTCAGCACCACTCCATCCCTTTAGTCGCCTCCTAAGCCTGGATTGCTGATGTTATCAAAACAGTTTACTGAAATGTGATACATGCTTAATGTCGGGTATACGTTGTGCTCGTTTCCATTGATCGTAGCACGGGCATATCTAAAATTAATGTCTCGTATGTTCGAAGGGTCAGAATAATCACACAAACAATCGTAATTATGATTTGAATACAAATAGACATATTAAAATCATAGGTGCTACCATATCTTTCAAACTGTATATTATATTTACCACCTTGTTCGTGTCACTTACATATTTTCAATCACATTGGGAAAATGTTTTACAGATCATCCCTATTTATGTGTATGCCCCTAACAGGTCAGGTTGAAGCCCTGTTCTGATTGATTGTCACAATAAAACCAAGCGCAAGCAGAAATGATTACACTCCTTTTGCAAGTCTCAAAGAATTGACCAAAAAGCTTGCCGAAAATTGTGCGTTGATTTAAGCGTTTGGGATTCTCTGCCCTTTAACCGAATAAAAGTGACAGTAAACATGAGCCATCTTTAAACACTGGTCATACTAATATCATCTGTGAATTTCACAACATAACGGCCTTTCTACGTTATATCTTATTTACCCGTACTGATTACAGCAGCTGAAAACGTGCATATATTCTTGAATTCAAAGCTTTACATTTCAACAACTCAAAACACAGAATGATTTCCTTTTCAGGGAACAACGGCTCCTGCACAGCGTGCAAGTATGGTACTGCAGAGGCTGACTGCACGGACCCATTTACTCCCTCGGGGCCTGTATCGGAAATTTGCGACACATTCGGTGAGTAGTTCCAAGTCTTGGGGTGGGGCTAGTGGGAGGTAGGGGTCGGGTGGGGATGGGTTTTTTTAATGTGTAGCCTTGTAGTTAAAATGTCAGGCCGTCACACCGAAAACCCGGATTCGACCTCGTCTCATTGGTGCAATATGTAAAGTCGTTTTCTGGTGTCCCCCGTCAGTGATATAACTGGAAGTTCCTATAACCATACTTACTCACTCAGCAAACCATGGTTAAAGAGACGCCTGAAATGTATGGCTTAAGCCTATTCTCGACATGTTGCCCTGTGTATGACAACTGACATCTAACAGACAAAACATAATTGACATATCTCTTTGTTTTCAGACGAGAACCTTTGCTCGAAGTACGGCAACTATGCAATCTACTGCCAGAGCGGTGGAATCAGTACCAGCTGCAAGAAAAGCGGCGAATGTTCCAATGGTACGAATCCGAACGTGTTATAACCATGTCCATAAATTACTATTAGAAATACAGAGGATGTTTGCACTAGCTGTATCGATGCAAAAATAGCACGAGTGCCTCAGATACACGTATGACGTGTCTACCAGGTGTACTGATACATCACTCAGATATATGTGTGATGTCTCTACCAGGTGTAGTGATGCATCATAGAGGGTGACTCAGATATATGTGTGGTGTCTGGATAGATTATTGCGGACGATTGTAACCTCGATTTAGGCAACCAACGCCAGGCATGTCATGAATATTACCATATTCATTTTGTCAAGGGCCCAACATTATGATTTTGATGATTTGCACGCTGACGATACCCTCCAATTACCGATTACTGATTTTTAACTATTTCCTAGTACTATATTTGCAACTATGTATCTGCACGAGATACCATTTTTAGGTTCAGCAGGTCAAATGAAAGTAGGTGATATGTTGTAACTAGTAATGCAGATATACAGAAGAAATCACCAAATAATACATTCATGTCTCGAAGCCCTTTTTACGTGGAACCTTGGTCTTTGGCATGAACTACGTTCCTCAACAAGCAGATTATCCGACAGCTCGAAAAGGCTGGTCAGCAACGTTTTAATGGTGTTTAATGAACGGACGAACGGACGGACAGACGGACGGACAGACGGATGGATGGATTTCTAAAAGAGTTGTAACAGTTCTGACAACATTTTGAGGCCTGTTTTACACTCCAACAAACTTTACACTTCAACAACTCAAATGTCAGCTATTACATACTGAAGCAGGTGTCCTGAGGCCGCAATGGTGTTTCTGAAAGAGTGGTAAAATCTTTGACAACACTGAAAAAACAACGAGTGTGCTGTTAAAACGTGCAGTTGCCATATTCTTGAATTCAACTAAAAAACAGAATGATTCCCATTTCAGTGAAGAGCTCCTGCACAGCGTGCAAGTATGGTACTCCAGAGGCTGACTGCACGGATCCATTTACTCCCTCGGGGCCTGAATCGGAAACTTGTAACACACTCAGTGAGTAGTTCCAACTCTTAAGTTTATATGCGTAATTAGTTCAAAATTCTTCATGCTCGTCTGTTTTTCTTTTTTTTTCTTTTTTTTTGTTTGTTTGTTTGTTTGTGTTGGGTTTTTTGGTGGTTTTTTTGTGTGGGTTTTTTTATGGCTTTGGTTTTATTTTTCCAATATCCTGTTTGTTTGTGTGGTTCATGTTTAAAAGTATTATTGGCATGAGTATATTTGCGGGGTCCCAGGCCGTGATGTTGCTGGGAGATTGCTAATGGCGGCGTAAAACCATATTCATTCACTCTGCAAGTCTTCTTTATAGAGACATCTAGATTAGATTTAACGGATTAATTTGGCTTTTACCTTGCCCATGTACGGCGATTGACATCTTACAGACACAATTGTCACGTTGTGTACCTTTGATTTCAGACGTGGACCTTTGCACGAAGTACGGCGACTATGCCATCTACTGTCAAAAAGGTGGACTCAGAACCAGCTGCAAGAAAAACGGTCAATGCGTCAATGAGGCCAGGTCATTGACCCCTAGCCTCGTCCTGATATCTGCCATCCTCACTATCGGAATCAAGATGGCGTATTAATTCCACGGAGAACATGCTGTCGGTGTCTGCTTGTAATGGTTCTGTTAACATTCTTCACAAATGTTCATGTACATTTAATTTTCTTAATGCGTTAGCAATTCATCCTTAATGATGAATCCTTAACCTTAAAACTTTACTTCATTGTGTTTGGTGGATATTGTGTACTTTGTCGAAAATGTTTTGGACATAATTTGGTATACCTTGCAATGTACCGCTTGTAATAACATGTATTAAACGCTGTTCACTGTTATTTTGATACTGACACCATTTTCTACGTGAAAAGGAATAACGTGTGACCACATTTTGAAATAGTACATCGGTTAATTAGGTCAAATGTCACTTTGAACCTTATCTCAAAATTGTGAAGGCGTATCTGGGATTCGAACCCATAATCGCCAGATTGTGGACGCAACACAGTGAATTGTGCTACTTAATGGCACGATTCTCATGATGTTGATCACTGGATTGTCTGGTCCAGACTCGATTATTTACAGACCGCCGCCATATAGCTGGAATATTGCTGAGTGCTGCGTTAAACAGCAAACAAACATAAAAGCTAAACAAACCACGTGTTAAGAACTATCTTAAACAGAGGCCTACTTCAGGGCAGCCCTGAGCTCTTCTTCTCTCTATAAACCACGACTTCTACACTGTTTAAAACATAGCACAACAACAAGCCAACCAACTGGTATTAGGTGACAATGAAGGGGATACGGAGAAAACGGACCCCAGCGAAAACCGACCTCAAAATGATCGAAAAAACGGCCACTGCGCTGGCGAGAACGGCCTCCGAACCTTAAGTAAACGTCAAGAGAAAACTGCCAACATAGTTGTACCAAGATCAAAGGAGAATATATTTATCAGTCTTAAATAATAGAGATTTGCTTCATTGCGGATAAGATTTAAAAAACGAATGATTGTTATGGCGGTTTAACCTTTGAAAAGTTGTTCTGATAGTTATGATGAACCAACCAATATGATTGATTGTAGACTTTACAGGTAAGATTAGGTGATGATAGAGAGAAAGATAATAAGGTAGTGTTTATATTGACGAGCGCATTGGTAGAAGATTTAATTACATCAAAGGTGAATAAAGAGGTCTGTTTTAACCAATTCCAACTTTTGTTCTTATAGTTCTGGCTTCTGTTTGTAATTAGTATATAAGTCAGTTACGACCATGGTAGAGCCACATGTCACCATGACGCCGAAATGTGCATTCTGCAAAGAAACAGTATACCGAAGTCAGGCCAAGATATCCTGTCATGGCTGTGACAATCAGACACATAGAGAATGTGATGTGCTAGCTGAACCGATCTTCTGCAGTGAGTGTAGCAGTCATATAGACCCTGAAACAAATATACCCAATGCAGCCCATGCAAGTCTAGAATGTGTGGCGAGTCTAGATTACCGCAGTTAGAAAGTCTCTGGGCTCCTTTTTATTGTATTTCAATTTAATAACTATTATTTTCTGTAAAATATGTTCATTTCAGAGTAGGGCTGGTTGTCTAAAAATGTAGAGACAGTCGAGTAGAACACCAATCTTCCAACATGGGCGATGTTGACCTGGAAGTAACACAACACCTGGACATTGAAGCAGATGTTGCGAATGTTAACTTTGTTGTGTCATGGTCATCGTCTGTACAATCGTCATTGTAAGTTGACCGCCGTGACTTAGTTCCCGAAACATCATAGCAGTTGAAGAAGATGCGGCTATGCAGGGATGGTAACCACCCTATTATCATATCATTATATAGAATTCAGTTTTCCAAAATACCGTTTTAATATTGCTTTTGTTTATCAAATCTTTTTATGTAAATAATTATCGTAACATTTGTAACATTTTGTTTTAATTATACTAATAATAATAATTTTCTGTCAATTGCTTTGTCTATGCTGCCGCTCGAACTTTGGAGGAACTGCACATAGTTTCTAAAGAAAAAACATCTAATGATAACAATAAAAGACCAAAGAAAAACCGGTTTCTTGTAAAACTTACTGAAACTAGAAGAAACATTTCCTGGATAGAGCTGTGCCTTAAAATAAGATCGCCAGGGAACCCAATGTCTAAAAGACAAAAGTCAATTTGGAGGAAATTATAATTATAGTATAAAACAACGAAAGAAAAGGTACTTCTCCAAATTGTCGATTCCCTTAAGGCCAAAATAAAGGTTTGGACTGAAAGAAAGAAAAATGGGGAAAGAAAAATACATTCATCAAACAGAATAAACTTTTTAGAAATAATGAAAAGCACTTCTACAGGCAACTGAAAACGAATGGTGATGGTGTGCAAGGATCAACTTCTTGTACAAAAATGATTTTGGAAGAGGCTGAAACATATCACCGCAAGCTTGCCATGTGCTCGATTGACTACAAAAATGCTCTGTCCCTCACGAATGGATTCTGAAGTCTCTGCGTTGTATTCACCTCCCTGGGCGACTACTTGATTTACTCAAGTCTGTAATGAGTTTCTAGTCGCCCCAACTTGAGATGTACTCGCAACGGTAGGTGCAGACTTCGGAATCTATTCCAATCAGAAGGGGAATATTCCAAGGGGATCCCTTTAGTCCTTTGCTTGTTTGTTTGTCTTTAAATCCTTTGAGCTTTCTGCTCAATAAAGAGGAGGTTTACCATCCCTGACCTCCTCAGCACAGATCCCCAACGCCACCTACTCATTTCCTTTACATGGATAACATTGAGCTCCTTGCCAAAGGAGATACCAATTTGAAAGATCAGGTTCTCTTGTCGAGTCCTTTTCTAACGATAATGGCATGACATTTGGACTCGACAAATGTAATACTCTTCATTTGAAACGTGGCAAGGTACTTAATGATGGATCTGTCAGGTTACGAGGGGAGGTGTTATTGAGCATCTTGTGGAAGATCAGGCCTACACCTATCTTGGAATGCAAGTTCGAGACAAACTCCAGAATGTCCAAATTCAAGAAAAACTTCGGACCGAGTATAAAGCTCGCTTAAAGAAAATCTGGAGCTCAGAGCTAAATGCTCGAAACAAGGTCAAAGCCACCAAATGTTTGCTGTGCCAGTCCTTTCCTATTCCTTTGGTGGCGCTCGGCATTAATGGGTACAACAAGGACTGATCGGTTCGGAGTCAGTATAATGTGTCTGAGTGGAGTATTCATGCTTCACTGCGGCATGGTATCTCAGTGGGCTAGCACTATAAAACCAGCTTAAGTCTGGGCTAGTACAAGCAGCCGCACCTACACATACACACGCATGCACGTCGTCATATGAGCGAAATATTCTCCAGCACGACGTTAAAGCCAATTTCACCTCACCTCACCTCCTATTCCTTTGGAGACGTTGATTGGAGAAAACAAGACACCCAGAGTCTTGTCCGCCTGACCAGAAGGATCATGTCTAAGAACAGAGCCCACCACCCTCGTTCCTCTATCAGTCGTTTATATATGGCAATCAATTCGGGAGGTCGGGGTTTCATTAATGTGGATAGATTGAATGATAGAATGTTATTGTGTACTTTTGCACATATTTATTTATCGGATGATCCTCTGGTGATGCATGTGAAGACTCATGATGAAAGCAAGGAATTCCACAGCTATTTTAAGCATGCCAAGGTTGTTGGACACAATCTGAAATTGGAGCTTGATTTTGTTGGTGATGTACTGCTAGACGGTACAGCGATGGGAGTAAACCAGGTGAAGTCCTTCACCAAGTCTGCCCAGAGTCGGTCATTTGTGGACAAGCTTTCTGAGAAGCCATTGCAATGTGTGTACATGTAGTGTGCGGAACAGATTAGTAATCCGACCGACTCCTTCGCCTGGATGAAGTCGACTGGTCTTAAATGTGAAACTGAGGGCTTTCTTTTTGCTGCTCAAGACCAGTCACTTCCCACTCTCAACCGCCAAAATGTGATTCTTAAAGAAAATATCAATATGAAATGTCGACTTTGCAATGAATTCACGGAGACTGTCCAACACCTTGTCAGTGGATGTCCTACTTTGGCACAAACAGCATATCTTAAACGACATGATGGCATGGCTCGTTGTTTTTACTACCGTCTCCGCCATGTTTGTGGCTTTGACTCCGAGGCCCATCCATTGTTTGACCCTGAACATGTCCAAGACGTCATGGAAAATGATGGTTTTCAAACTTCTTTGGAATAGGCCCTTAAACAGCCTCAGAAGAATTCCTGCCAACAAACCTGATCTTGTCCTTTTTGATAAACCCAATCATTAAATTTTCAGTCCCTTTTGACAGCAACGTGATTGGCAAGATTCAGGAAAAGCATGATAAATATGCGGTCATCGCCTTTGAAATGTCTCGCTTGCATCCCAAGTACACTGTCGTCAAACTCCCCATTGTTCTCGGTACCCTTGGTTTGGTACCTCCTCATCTCTTGGCGCATATCAGGAGAGTGCCTGGTTCTCCATTGGGAGCACAGCCCTTCTGAGACTCTGGGTAATGCAGAAGGCTGCAGTGTTGGGGGAGTCTACATATTCTCCAGAAAGTTCTTGGTGGGTTTGACTAGGCAGCGTTTCCTGGGAGAAGTCCCATTCGCTGTCTGGGCTGCGTGTAGATGGGGCAAGGGTCCTGAGCTGATGATGAGCCTTATCAGCCTGACTGTGCCAGGATCACCCGAGCCCTCTCTGCTGCATTTACATCTTAATCTGTAAAACATAATAATATGGGTATTTATACTGTGTTGAATTCCACACATAAAGCATGCTCAAAGCGCTACATGGAGTGAAATAAAAGCAAATATTTACAAAGCAAAGCTTATGCTACAACGAGAGTAAAAATATAAGGAAAGTTAAGTTATACATTGTAATATTGTCTGAAAAGATAGGTTTGAGACATTTTGAGTTCAGTGGGGAGTTGATTCCACAACTGTGGAGCACCATCGCTGAAGGAGCGAAATCCGAATGCCCGGAGTTTCTGTCTGGGAATGGTGAGAAGGTATTGATCTGCCGATCTTAACACACTGGAAAGATTGTGCTTGGTGACTAGCTCAACAAGGTAGTCTGGAGCCGTACAATGGTAACACGAGTAG